CATGCACAGCCCGCCCTGCCCATGTGGCTGTCTCAGTGGCCTGAGAGATACTGTGGCAGGGGGGTGGGGGGCTGACTTTGAGTTCATAGGATGGTGAGGTCACTGGAGCTGTGTGGACAGGCCCATTCTGAAGGACTCTCTGTTTTCTCCCTGTGCCAGGGATCTGCTCTCAGGGACCAGGGGGCCATGCAAAGACCAGACCCCCAGGCTTCCCAGCTGTGGCAGGGACATAGCAACGGCCCAGCTCTAGCTAAACCCTGTGTCCTGCCTGCTCTCTGATTCTCAAGCCCTTGTCCCGCATTTCCCCAGTCTCTGCCCTGGCCCATGTACTACAACTTTGACCTTCGGGGCAGCCCAGAGGAAGCCCAGTTTCCTCTGACTTTGTTCTGACCTCCTCCATGTGAGAGGCCTGAACATCTGTCCTGGGGCTGCTCTGGTTGCCATGGCGGGGCTGGGTTTAGGGAGCTCTGTGGATCCCCTGATCTTCTGTGGGGCTCTCACAGTCTCTTGCAGTCCCCTTCCATAGCACTGCCCCGCCCCTCTCCTCACCCTGGGAACCCCCACAGCAGCAAAGGGCTTGACCATCAGGAAGTCCACTCAGTGTCCCACGTGTCAAAGGCCACGCTTTGAGCACGTGCTGACATGACCAGAGTCAGGGAGAGGCACCTCTGCAGCACAGACAGTGTGCTTTCACACAGACAGATGCCCAAAGGGCCACAGACTCACACAGCAGGGTGTCAGATCTTGGGGTGACTGCTCTGTGCTCACACAGGGCTTCCTGGGGGTGGGGCTGCTGCCTCCTCTCAGTGTTGACACAGGAAGGAGGGGATGCCGGGAGCAGATCCTGCAAACAAGAGAGAGGTCAGCTTCCCAGATACCAGAACACATGGGGACAATTTAGACATGAGCAGAGGGCCAGGTAGGAGTGGATGACACTGGTGTTGGGCTCATGGGAGACTAGCTCTTGACGTGCCAACTACGTAGTCTGCACACACGTCTTTACAACTATGTGGCGGTACTTGGAGGCGACGAAAACCAGGTCAAAACCATCGGTGTCAGGTGGGGTCAACAGACCAGAACCAGGATTGCTGAGGTCGCTGTGTCCTGTGGGGAAATAGCCCAGAGGGTGCTGGAGAGACTTTGGTCCCAGGTCCTCTGTTGGCTCCTCTGCTAAGTGAGCTCGCTGTGAAGAATCAAACTGAAAGGCACTGGGGTGGGTGGGAAGGTCAGAGCAGAAGTCCTGATGTCGTTTTCTCAGCAGCCGTATCATCAAACGTGTCTTCGAGGACCCGGTTAAAGCCAGCTTCTGCAACCACAGTGGGCCTGCCTGTGTGTGCTGCTCCCTGGACAGGCAGCCAGGAGGACTCCAATCAGAGCCAGCACCCGAGGTAAGGCCCCCTGTAACCTGGGGGAGCGCCCCCAGACTGGCTTCTCCCGGGCTTGTCCTGACGGGACCCAAGGGAGGGAGAGGCTCACTCCTGGAAGTTAGCAGCTCTCTGTGCCCTCTATCCCAGGGCAGGTTGGAAGCCAATCTGTGGATGGCAGCGTGGGTAGCTGAGGTCATGCTGGACCCGCACTGGGCTCGGAGAGGGTTCAAGCTGGGAGAAGAGCTGAGGTCAGGAGGGAAGTGACATCTACGGAGAGATGCTGATCTCCTACCAGGCCGTGCTGGGTGTCTGACATGAAGGTTTTCGTTCGTTCCTCAAATACCATCACCTTCCTCATTCCATTGATGAAGGAACCTAGACTCAGAGAGGCCGAGGGACGCGTCCACACGCCCACAGCTACAGAGGCAGGGCTGGACTCCAGCTTAGGTGTTCAGGACTCCAGTGAGTTGAGTTCTTCCCTCCAGCCTGTACTTGTTAGCTGTTACTGAGTTGTTTCCTACTAACGGCAGCTCACGCATACAGAGTGGACCTGTGCTCCTCAGACGTCTGGGCGTCCGAGCTACATCGTCTTTCAGGAGCAGACACCAGGTCTGTCTTCTGAGGGGCCTCTGGGTGGGTTTGAACTACCAACCTTTTAGCTAGCATTTCAGCCCTTAACCACCTGTACCACCCAGAGACTTCCTTCCAAACTAGTGAGTGCTAGCTTTTTGGGGGTTGCCAACCCCATGGAAAATCTGGGGGTCAGGTAATCTATAGATTAAACATGCCTGTGATCAGAAGCCATGTCTGGGATCCACAGGTGCCCTAAGCATTCCTGCCTCCGGAAGGTCCTGAAAAACATCAGACGGAGAAACGTTCAGGCCCTAAACTCACCACTTCTGGAAACTGACCCTGTAAATATTCAGACCCAGGAAATGTTAATTTCTTCGGGGCCTATGCAATTTAGGGGAATACCTTTAATAAAAAGATTAGAACGCAATGAATGCAAATTTAGGTGTGAATGAAAAAGTCCAAGCAAGTATAGAGTCTCAAAGTTTAAGCTTTATTAGAAACTCCAAATCCATGGCCGTCAACTTGTTCTCATTGTGGAGACCCCACGTGTTGCTGTGCTGGACTGTTCCCTGACATTTTCTTGGCTGGAATCGTTCCAGAGCAAATTGCCACACTTTTATCTCATGACGCCACTGGCTGGGTTCAAATCTTGAGGTTAGCGGCAGATTGCAAACTATACGTACTTTGCGTGCGTGTCAGGTGGATCGACTAGTGACTGCAACAGTGGGATTAAACACAGCCGGCTGTGAGGACGGCACTGGTTTGGCTGTTTCCTTCAGTCGTACATGGTGTCGTTATAACTTAGAACAAGTTCAAGGAACCTAATGATGAATGACTTCCTGCTTTTATTAACACACAGTAAATGTCTATTTAACATATAACAATGGTGGTTATCACAAAAGATTGAGGGCAATTGTTAATAGGGAACAGTTAAATTAACCAGCTAGTGATTTGTCCATAGAGAGCTTTAGTGACCTAGTGGTAAGGGGTTGCAGTGGCAACCCAAAGGTATGTGGTTCAAATCTACCCGTTCCTCTTTGGGAAAAAGATGGACAGTCTCCTCCCATGTGATTAACTGCCTCTGAAAATCCACTTCAGGGTCAACTGTGGGTTGGTTCTCACTCAGTGGTGCACAACATCATGTGATGGAATAGTACACAGCTATGAGAAAGAGCAAGAGATTTCTTTTTCACTGATGTGAGAGATCTCCAAGATATTTGGCTAGAAAATACAATCAGAATACAGGTAGACACATGACCAGTATACCTTTTGGCTGATTCTGTGTTAGTCAGGTCTGTTGCTAGTAAAAAAGGAACAAACAAACATTTTTTCTCTTTTTATCATTGTTGTTGCTAAGTGCCGCCGAGTCGTAGGCTACTCATAATGACTCTATGAATGAAAGACCTGGACACTTGTACAACTTTCATCCTTTCTCCAGGTTCATAGGGTTTTCAGAGGCAAACTATTACGGAAGTGGATACCACACTGCTTCCAAGCTTGGTTTAATTGGGAGCTCCACCAAACACTGTCCATCATTATAGCCTTTTATTATCAGTGTCTTTATAAATTCAAAATTTATTTGTCTTTAGGGATTGGGGATGTTACTTAGAAGCTAAAAAAATATTTTAATACATATATATTACTAATAATAAAATGTACACCCAAAAAAAACAAATAGAACAAAGAGGTGGTCTTTAAGAGTGGTTTGTCACAACTTGACTTTACCCTAAATTGAACGCTACACATGATATCTGTGCTGTACCTTCTTTTGTGTGAAAACAATGCATATTAATGATTGTTATATACAAAAAGTCCCTGGACAACACATTCCAGGCCATAGTCTTTATAATCACTTGCTATGTGTCAGAGAGCTGGATAGTGACTAGGCATGATAAAAGGAGAGTTGATGCCTTTGAGCTGTGGTGCTGGAGATGACTATTGAATATACCATCGGTTGCTAGGAGAACAAACAGGTTCATCCTAGAGAGAGCTAAACCAGGCTGCTCCTTGGAGATGAGAATTCTGAAGCTTCATCTGACATACTTTGGACATGTTGCAAGGAGGGACCAGTCCTTGGAGAGGGACAATATACTTGGGAGGGTGGAGGGACAGCACACAAGAGGAATATCCTCATGAAATGGATTGATACAGTCACTGGGGTAATGGGGGTAAGTGTGTCAGAGACAATAAAGTTGGAACAGTTTAGGGCTGTTGTTGCTGTGAGTGGCAAGTGACTCAATGGCACAGGACAACATCAGGTGCAAGTTCTCCCTAGGCACTGGGGACAGTGGCAAAGATGCAGGTACTAGCTAGATCCCTGCATCTCTCATTTCATCTCTCTCTCTCTCTCACACACACACACACACACACACACACACACACACACACACACACCAGGCCCTTGGCTTGCATACCATTTCCAAGTGAAAGAATCTTCTGAATGGTGCTGTCCTGTCCTGATGAGGACTAGTCTGGACACAAAAGCTGGATTCGTGGGCAGGCGGAAGAGGAGGCTCAGGCCACCCCCCTGAGGAGGCAGCTCACTGTCTGTCACTCTGTCCCCACAGGTCTCTGCTCAACAGCGTCCACATCAGGCTCCTGGTCTTCCTGAAGGTGCCCCTGCTTCTGAGCATGCTCGGTGCTGTCCTCTGGGTGAACAGGCCTCAGAGGCTCCCCAGAGCGAGGC